ATATATATATATATATATATATATATATATGGAAGGAGGAAGATAATTATATGTATATAAAATGTTTAGAGAGGTACAGACCAAATGTGGATACCACTGAAAACAAAGTAAACACCAATCATTTATACAGAAACACACACACACACTTGTACTATCTGAATATTTACATAACATTTTTCTTTTCAAAAGTGAAAAACCAGACCCCCCCCCAAAATGACTAATCTTTGGGAAATAATACCACTACTGTCTTGACATCTCTTACAACCAAACAAAATACTGAAAGCTGAATATTATCAAAATTGAGCTCAAATTATTGGAAAACAATAAGGCATTGCTTGGCCAGAATACCATTTCACTTAAGTCTGATTGATGTCCACTGACAAATGGATATTTGCATAAAAAGAACTGGGCAATAATCATTATTATAGTAATTTATATTTTTAAAGGTAACATCTTTGTTTCAATAATAATTTTTATTTTTAGCATGGAATTGCACCCTCAGATCTTTAAGAACTTCATAACCACTAATATATGTTTATGTGGATCATGTTTAAGTATGAGCAAAAGCTCTTGAGAATCAAAGTGCAAAATCACAAATTCCATCCTGCTCTTGTTAGGGCTCTAGAGAAAGTCCACATAGGCAGCCTCAAACCTACAGGTGGGTTGGATTTGAAAATATGGATCAGTCAAAAGAGACTCCAGAGACTCAAGGAATGGGGCTTTCCTCAGTTATGCATTACCCCAGTGGACAACCACGTATGTGGACCCAAGGACTAATCTGAAGAAATGGAATTACCTTGATTGTCTATGGTCTTTCAGGTTAGAGGGGCAAGGCTGATTAAACACAGATGTAGCCTTCTTACCCAACGGCTTACAAAGACTGAAGCCCACAAGACAACTCACATGGGACAACCCCGGCTATGAGAAACCTCTGTTGGCCATGCTGCTTATCCTCTCATATGAAACTCTGAATGTCAAGACATTCGCACTATGGTCCCCACCTCCAGAAATCGGCTCTTTTCCTTAGTGATATGGAACCAGCCAACCAGGAACAGATACTACTGTCTAGCAAACCTCTCCATGATTTCTTTTTTTGCACATTTGATCTTCTTGAGCCTCTTTCTCAATGCTAACAGCTCTGCTACAGTTAATTCAAACAAATATACCCTCATTGATCACATGGACATGATGTTCCCAGCAACAGATAAACAACAACATCATAAGTCTTGGCTAAAAAGTTCATAACCTTTTCAGAAGAACAAATAGAAATCTGACTTGTCTAGTATATCTTGTTCATCTCTAATTCATAAAATAATAACTTTAGTCAACCAACCAATATGCTTAGCTAAAAGAAGAAATTGAAGCCCTGCATTTCTTCTAAAATACCACAAACCAGCACTGGCACTCATATACAATACACACAGAAGGCCAGTTATTGTGCCATCTATTCACAGTGCCACTCCACTGGCAGCTCCTGACTATAAAGCAAACTACTCAAACTCTAAAATCTCATTCAAAGAGGGTAGGCATGAAATAAGAAATAATTTTGTGATACAGAAAGAAGTTCAAAGCATTTTATAATTCCCTAAAATTTGTATGATCAGAAATTTATTTTATTTTCTTGTATATATTATCATTTCTGTTTGTTCCACAGGTGCCATTACTGATCACATTTTACAAAATTGTGCTTTAACAAGGTCCTGATTCTGCTTGAGCTCCAGCTTTTCTATGTTTCTATTGATCAATTTTAAGCCAAATATGTAATTACCTTTCCCTGGTAAACAATAATTTTACTTGTCACAGAGCACAATTAAAAAATTTCAATTACATTAATTGAAAATTCTCTCTGCTATTTTAAACCACTTTACTATGGAACTGAGATACTGCAATTTCTTTCCTATATTTTTAAATACAAAATACAGCCAGAAATCAGAGGTTCTTGGTCAATCAAGAAGTGCTCGAGTGTCGCTATGTGCAAAATCACTTATGCACATACCTGGACCTATTACTCAACATTTGATCCTGTGTCTTCAGTACCTGTAGTTTAACTCATTAATCAATAACTAAGCCACACATTGTATTCCTTTGAAATCCAATTTCACACATATACTCAAGAGTGCAGAAATGTCTTTTCCAATGCAATTAACTCTTCTGACTACACAGAAATAATGGAATTGATCGTCAAACTTCATGGCATTCAGCACCTGAAGCACCATCTATAAATATGAAGGCAATACTTTTTAAAAGAGATGCCAAAGTGGCTTTGAAATAAAAAGGAAAATATTGGGGGATGTGCTTCTCTACATCTTTAACCTTCCCATAGTTAAAAGCAAACTCATCTGGTAGAATCTTCGCCTGGTAAATCTATTCTGGTTATTTTCCTATAGATTCTACCTTCATGTTTGGTAGATTACTACCATATGCCCAAATAAATGTGTGCTTCTGTAGGAGCCTTCCGTGTTCCAGTTTCATTTTAATTCTTTCATCTTCAAAGATAAAAGCCTTTTCATGGGCAGTGGGTTGAATGCTTTGTAAGAAGAAACCTTAAATTTGTGTTGGACTTTCTGAATGTTACTATAAACATTTTAAAATGTAAACCTCTCGAGACGACAGATAACAGGGCATCAATCATGTTTTCAGAATCTTTACTTTAAACATTGCTTTATCTCACACGTATCTGTGGGAACTCACATTTTTAAATAATTGACTTTTATTAACTTCCCTGCTTGCAGTTTATCCTTTGGGTACTTGATGTACCCAAAGCAATGGATATTTATATACATATATCCATTAAACTATATTTAAGTGAATACTTATAAAAAAATACAGTGCATAATCTTGTTAGAAGATAATGATCCATAAAAATAGTACTTCATTATTTACATAGAGTAGAAATAGATCTACAAAGAGAATTATAACTAATATCTGTTTTAAATCACAACAGTTTCCACTTTTCAAAGAAACTGTATCTTCAAACAAGTTATTATTCCTTCTCCAGTGGACAGACATAAAACTGGTGTGAGTGACGAGCGAGTGGGGAAGGGCATTTGTTGAAACAGTTTTTCATGTATTCAGTACATTTATTTTTGGAGTGCCCACTCTGTTCTCAGGTATGTTTCAGAAACAGAAAGCCATGCTATCAAAGCTCTAGGGTCAAGAAAGAAGAGAGTCAAGTGAACAAACATACTTCCAAGGTAGGAAACCTGATAACAGCTTCAGGAAGAACTGTGGATCAGAGAAGTGGGGACTTCCTTAGGAAGCAGTGGTGAGAATTTGGAATACACAGTCCAAGCCCTTTTACACTCTACTCTCATCATAGGTAACACTCAAGAAGGCAGAGATAAATGGTCCTGTAGACAAGTAAAGATACATTTGGAAAGTAGGTTGACCAAAGAATATAACGACCCATGTTAACGGGAGACGAAGACATAGTGCTTCCTATTGTGTGAGGACTGCACAGAATTAAACCTCACATTTTACTACAGATGTCCTTTCTTTTGGGTTTGTGGTAAACCTCACGTATTATAAATTAGGCAGTAATAAAAGAGAATACCTTAATTAATTCAAGAAAAATAGGCAACATTAAAAGAGGATGATTCCTGTTCCCAGAAGGGAATTAAGACCTACCAGGAAAAAAGAGTCAAGTCCTAGGAATCCAGTCTGCACTGAATAGAAAGACAAAGCTGTCTCCTGATGTGGGCTCTACTGGCAGCATGTGACTATTTAAACTTAGGCTAAGTCAAGTTAATAAAATTTGAAATTCGGTTCATTGGCTGCACTAGCCACATTTTAAATGCTCAATGTGTCACATATGACTCGTGGCTACTGTGCTGACCACAGCAGATACAGACCATTTCCATCATCACAGAAAGTTCTACTGTAAAGCACTGCACCAGAGGGAAAAAAGAGACGAAAGTGGTAGACTCTTCCTCTAGTACAGCTGGGAAAAGGGAATTTCAGTAGTTTTATAATATGGTTAACAAAATCATCTCTCTAAGGCCAAAAGTGGTGACAATGACATTGAAAAATGTGATAGCATTAGATGTAAATGATGATGTTAAAGGTTAATCTCTTCTGAGGGCTTTTAAAAAGGTGCCCTGCATTTTTAAGAGGCTCATAAAAGGAAGGGAAGACAGAATTTTACCTTTGAATTCTGTTTTCATTAGATTTGACAACTTCACTGGCCTTTAAAATCATAAGTTAATAAGGATCTACATTCAGTATCATTAAGCTGATAAGTGGGTATTTAATTAACACAATCAGACATTAAATAAATTAAACATAAAATTTAAACCATGTCCTTCACTGTCCTGAGTTTATTAGTATATTTCCAATTCACTTTTTTTCCAGTGAGTATAAAACATCACAAAGTCCCTAAGAGCCCATCTTCTAGCTGAAGTTACAAATCTTTATGTATCTCCACTTATACTGATATAAGTGAAATATATAATAATATGTATTATTTTTAGATTGCTAAAGAATATTAGGCACATTAGATTTTGGTATTTAAAAAGCT